GGACGCCGCAGCGGCGCACCGCCGGCGAGCCCTCGGCGCCGCCGCCGCCAGCGCGCGCGGCCGCGCCGCCGCCGTGGGAGTGCCCGCCAGCGCTCGACCCCGCCGCGGGGGCGCCAGCGCCCTCGGCGTGCGGCCCGCCGCAGGAGCGGAGCGCCGGCGAGCCCTCGGCGCCGCCGGCGCTGATGCGCGCCGCCGTGGGCGCGCGGCTGGCGCCCGGCCCCGCGGCGGCCCCCGCTGGGCTGGCGCAGGACTCCCCGCTGTTCCGGCCGCAGCGCTTCGACTTCTACCGCGACGAGGGCGGCGCTCAGAGAAGAAAAGGCGTACCGACACTGCTGCTGCCACCCCTCCCTCGTTTTCGCCTGACCTCCTGAGAGGCCCTCTTCGCCACGGCTGGATTCGCTTCGAACTTTGGTCAGCGCGCACATCCGGGGAGCAGTGGTCTCATCAGTACCTTTTCATTTCCCCAGGCGCACGGGCCGCGAGCGGCGCGTGGGCCCCTCAGGCCGCGAGCCCGCCGCCGCAGCTGGAGTGGTTCCCCTGCGCGTGGCCCTGCTCGGCGCCTGCGCAGCAGCCGGTGCTGTCGCCCGCGCACTGGTGCGGGCCAGCGCCGCTGGCGCCTGGGATGATCAGTATCGTTTCTGAACCGATCACCATCCCGATCCCCACCATCCCCTCCCCCCAGTTAAGCGACGCAAACATACCGGGTCGTCTTCGCCGACGTTGGCGCGTAAGCTCACCGCGTAAGGTCGCGCGTCAGCGCCTTCGTCTCTAATGTAGCGTGCCGCGCCAGCGGCCCGCGTAAGCCGCGGCGTAAGGTCGCTGCGTCATCTCGCGTAAGACCCGTTTTTTTTTATCGTCGCCCAGTTGGGGATAGGACCCTCGAAACCCGAAGGAAACCACATATATCCCCACTAGTTGCGTGGTACATCGGCCAGTGGTTCCCAAGCCACCCCAGTGGGGATGGGATCGGCGAAGCGGTGCACAGATGCAGCCCCCGCTGGGCGGCGCGTCCGCCGCCGGTGGCGGCTTTGCCCCGCCGCCGCCGCCGCCGCCCGAGAGGGTCCCCGTCCGCGAATCTGTCCCGCCGCCACAGGCCGCGGCGGCGCACGCCGAGAGGGATGCGCTGCTGGCGTCGGCCAGGAAGCTCGAGGAGAAGGTTCTGGGCCTCCCAAGGGCGTCCGAGTGGATGGGGTCGGGGGGTCGCGCTGCACCGGCGCTGCACCGGCGAGACGCCTCGACGCGGGGCCCGATGCTTTCCACGCCGACGTCGCCGATGCATCGGCGATGCGGCGCGATTTTCCGACCCCTTTGAGCGACGCAACAAAAACGGGATCAGCTGCGCCGACATTGGCGCGTAAGCTGGCCGCGTAAGGTCACGCGCAAGCGCCCTCGTCTCCAGCGTGGCGCGCCGCGTTGGTGGCCTGCGTAGGCCGTGGACAAACATTGATAAGGCCTCTCGCGGAAGATCCGTTTTTGATCGTCGCCCATTCCGGAGACATCCGAAGGTGCAGGAGCTGCTGAGCGGGCAGGAGGGCCTCCGGCACGAGCTGGAGCAGGCGAGGGAGTGGGCCTTGCGAGCGGCGCGCGGCACGAAACAGAAACCTTCGGAGGTGCGCGCCCATCTCTTGGGCTGGTGCGGGGCCCCCTTCTCCCCGTAGGAGCGACGCAAGAAAAAAAAACGGGGTCGTCTTCGCCGACATTGGCGCATCAGTTGCCCGCGTGAGGTCGAGCGTGAGCGCCCTTGTCTCCTTTGCAGTGTGCCGCGCTGGCGGCCCGCGTAGGCTGCGGTGTCAGGTCGCTGCGTCATCTCGCGTAGGATCCGCTTTTGATCGTCGCCCCTATGCAACCCTGGGCGGCGCTTCCGGGGCCGCCTCCAGCGTCGCCTCCAGCGTCGCCTCCGCCACGCTCTGCTCTGGAGGGGGTGGTCGGGGGGGGGGTCCAGTGCCGACCTAAGAAATCCTCGCAGACCTCCGAAAGTCTCCGCTTATGCCGATGCCCCAGACATGCTCGCGTCATGGCATCAACATGACTGCTGTTTTCTTGGCATCGCTCGGGCGTGCGTACTTTTTCTTGGCGAGGACCACCGAGGAGCATCTGGGAGCACCTCCTGAACAAATGTGCACGCCCGACATCGAACAGTGCACGGGGAATGGACGTCCGAGCGATGGCAAGCTGTCGCTGCTATTTTCAGCCTCTGAGGGGCCCTTGCTGGGCCTGGGGGCTGCCACCAACACGACTCGGGAGGAACAGCCGGCCCTGAGGAAAGGGGCGGGGCTTCCGGGGGCCCCGTGTTGAAGGGCGCCCAACTCGGGGCCCTCTGAACCAGGGCGTTGCAAGCCAGGGTTTTGTGAATTCCACATGAGCGACGCCAAAGAACGGGTGCGTCTTCGCCGACATTGGCACGTAAGCTGCCCACGTCAGGTCGCGCGTAAGCTCCCTCGTTTCCACTTTTGCGTGCCGCGCCGGCGGCCCGCGTAAACCACCGCGCAAGGTCGCAATGGCATCTCTCGTAAGAGCGTTTCTTTTCGTCGCTCACGTGGAGGAACGAAGAGTGGAGAATGTTTCGACCCACGGCCGAAGTTTTTGCCGGCCGCGCCACGGTCCTGGTGCACAGAAGGCCCCATTTGGAGGGCCCAGGGAGACACTGCACGGCTGGGGCTTTGTTTGCTTTCGTCCTCTGCAGGTGAGGATGGAGGTGCGGGACTCGAGCCGGCAGTTCCTGGAGCAGCCGTGCGGCCCGGCGGCCGGGTTCCAGGACCTCCCGGAGGTCGGGCCTGCGCTGATGCAGCCCACCCAGGTGGTGGCAGCCGAATTCCGACCCCCCCTCCGGAAGAGCAGCTTCTGCACACACACGGCCAGGACGCTTGGCTTAGCGTGTCCCTCCGCCTGTTCTGGGCCACCGCGCTTCGGCGCGACGCGCGATCCGCGTCCCCATCTCCAAGCGTCAACGTCCCGAGGTGTTCAGAACTTTTTCTCTTATATACAGGCTGCAACAATTGACGGTGGTTGGCGCTGCCTTCGGATTTGCTTTGCAAGCCATGTCCTTGCGTGGTCTGGGGCCTCGATTCCTTCCTCGGTCGTTGTCCCTCCGCCGTCGTGTCTTTCCCTGGCCCTCGCTTCGTTCGCTGTTCGGGTCATCGTTCGGTCCCCCCTCGTCGCTGTGATCAGCGCGAGGGAGTTAGCGATCGACTCTTTCCCACGTCCTGATAAGAAAAGTCCCGACCTGTTCCCAGTCTTTCGCACCGCGGAGCGGGGCGACACGCTATCCGCTTTCAGGGCATAGCGCTTCGCTGGGGCCGCCCCCGCGACACGCTAAGCGAAAGTTCCCGACTGTCAGGTCTCGGAGGTCTGCGCGCACTTCCTGGGTCGGCGCTGGACTCCCCCCAGGCGGCGTCTTGGGCGCCGCCACTGGCGCGATTCGCGCGCAAGGGAGGGGGGGTCTAGCACCTACCTGAGACATCCGCGCGGACCTCCAACAGTTTACGTTTATATTGGTGTCGTCTGATCTACATTTACACTCGTCATCGTGGCCTTCTCCGAAGGCGGATTTGAGACGTATCCACCGCCTTTGGAAACAACGTCTTGGGGCTTTCAGGGCCCCAGGATGCAGTGGTTTTGAGGATCGGTTCGGCCCCTGGCGGGGGCCGAAGCTGTCCATGTCTACAGCCCGCTCTGACCTCCGACAGTTTATGTTTATGCTGTTGGTGTTTCTTCTGCACTCGTCGTCGTCCCCGAGGCCAGCATTGAGACGTATCCACCGTCTCGGAAAGTCCTGCCCCAGGCTCACCAGGAGGCGATGGGGTTCGGCCCCCTGGCGGGGGCCGAAGCTGTCCATATGTTCAGCCCCCTGGGGTCCATGGACATCAGTTCCCGAGGCGGCGGGTACGGTAGGTTCGTGTCGTGTCGACCGGCGGCGACCCCGCCGCCGGCGTTCAACGTTGAACGCCGGCGGCGGCCCAGAATCGATCGATGTTGAACGATTGGACGTTGCGGAAACGGCCGATCGTTCAAGGTTGAACGATCCCCGCGGTGTCAGGAACCAACGCCCGGGTCGACACGACACGAGCCTGCCGTATGGCAATGCCCACACCGCCCTTCGCCACCGTCGCTGTCGCCGCTGCCGTCGGGGATCGAGGGCCCAGGGTCGGCGCTGCCGGGCGTGCTTCGCCCTCTCGGGGGCACCCATGGGAGCCCTCTCGGCGCGGCGGCCGAAGCTCTGACCACCATCGCCTGCCACCGTCCGTCGATGTCGCCGCTGTCGTCGCCATCGGAGATCGAGGGCCGAGGGTCGAAGCTGTCGCGCGCGTTTGGCCTCCAGGGGGGGGGTTCTCGTCGCCACGGCTGGGTGCCCCCTCGGCATTCTGGCTGTTCCCCCCCCCCCCCCCCCTCCTCTCTGCCACGCGCAGAGGGGGGGTATGGGGGAGGGGGGAAGAAGGCTTCTCAGAAGCACCCCTTCTTCTCAGAAGGTGCGGGCCTTCTCTCTAGATGTAGGACAGGTGCCTTCAAAGAAGCGGCCTCTGTCTAAGAAGCCTTCCCCCCTCCCCCTAACCCCTTGTGCGTGCCGCCCCTCCCCACCCCACGGTGACGTCGCCCCGTGGTCTTCGGACCATGCTTCAAGTCTCCGGCGGCCGTGCGGGACGATCCTAAGACCCTTGGGGCGCTCTCGGCGAGGCGCAGGTGCTGGAGAGCACCCCGTGGCTGGAAGACCGCCGAGAGCCAACGAAACTTCGACTCGTGAGGGATCCGGGCTCGGGGCTCGGAGTGGCGGCGGACGTTGCCGCACAGGTGCTCTACCGCTCGGACCAGTGGGGCGGGCCGTCGCTGCAACCCGACACGGTCTTCTACCCCCACGCGGAGCAGCAGCCCCCCTCGCCGCGGTGCGGGCACAGTCCCCCCGTCCACCTCCTCCTCCTCCTCATCCTCCTCCATTCCTTTTCCTTCTAGATATACTTTGTCCTTGTCGCACCCCGAGGCCAGTTTTTAGGGCGGGCCCGGCGTTTCGCCTGAGACGTCCTCACCATTGGAAGCCCTGAAGGGGAACAATTGGTAACAGTGTCACAGATGGAGGGCGGGTGCTTTTCAAAATGTGGCTCTCGCATCAGCGCCGCGCACATTCGTTTTATACATTTGCCAGAGTTTCACGGACTGAGGGCGGGTGGTTTTCAAACTGTGGTTCTCGCCTTAGCGCCGCGCGCATTCGTTTTACACATTTGCAAGAGTTTCGCGGATTGAGGGCGGGTGGTTTTCAAATGTGGTTTTCGACCTAGCGCCGCGTACATTCGTTTGAACAATGTACGAAAGCTTGACGGATTGAGGGCGGGTGGTTTTCAACATGTGGTTCTCGCCTTAGCGCCGCGTACATTCGTTTTAACAATTTACAAAAGTTTGACGGATTGAGGGCGGGCCGTTTTCAAAATGTGGTTCTCACAATAGCGACGCGCACACTCGTTTTAAACACTTGCAACCGCTTCACGGATTGAGGGCGGTTTCTTTTTTCAAAATGTGGTTCTCGTTTTAGTGCCGCGCAAATTCGTTTTCAACATTTGAGAGGTTCACGGCTTGAAGGCGGTTCCTTTTCAACATGTGGTTCTCGCCCTAGCGCCGCGCACATGTTGGATACAAAATTGCAAGAGTTTCACGGAGTCGCATGATCGACGTACTAGAAATGGTGTTTTGGAAAGGTTCACGATTTTGCGGGCGCAACGGTTACGATGAGTCGCGGAGTTGAGGTCCCAGGAATGGGTTTCTGGCACGATTCAGGATCGTCAAGACGCAACAGTCAGGTTCATCCGTGCCGTTGGAATGCAGAGGGTCATGTTTTGGCATGTTTCATGGTCTTGAAACGGCTGTCTTCCAACGAGGCGGGTCCCTCTGTGGAAATGAACCGATGCAGGGGCCTATGAAGAGGGAGCTTGTGAGGAGGGTTTCTTCCAACATCGTTGGTGACTCTTGGGTTAACACTGGTCCTGCTCCTCCTCGTCCTCCTCCTCATCTTCCACCTCTTCGTCCCCCTCTTCCTCCTCCTCCTCGTCCTCTCGTCATCCTCGTCCTTAATCTCCTCGTCCTCTTCTCCTCCTCCTCATCTTCGTCCTTTTCCTCCTCGTCTCCCCCTCTCAGGTTCATTGTGCCCGCTTCTCGTCCCTTCTGGCCTTCGTGGTCGCCGTGTCTGTCGTTCTCGTCACTCCTGTTCGTTTCTGCGCAGGCGTCATGTATAATGATCGTCGGTTCCGTGTATTTCTCCTTCTCTCGATTCTCTGACGCCGACAGAGATTACCTGGGATCTACGTGCTTGGCGCTCGCCTCGCTGGAGTTCGGGGCCTTGTTTCGGACGACGCGCCACTGCGTTCTGCACTCAGCGGTCACGGATCCACCAACTGGTCTAGCTCGAGCCTGGCTCGGCCGAGCGCACGCTCCTGCACCCCTGGCAAGACCGCGCCGCGCAGCCGCCGACCCTGGCCAGTCCCGGGAGAGCCCGTGGCGCCTCCCGCGCAGCCCGCGATGGCCCGCATGCTCCTGGCGCGCGCCCGCTTCCTGGCCTCCTGCCGCGGCCGCCCCTCTCTTCGCTTCTAACAAATACCCCCGTGCACGATCAGCTTTTCCGCAGCCCTGCGTCCACCTCGGCCTCACTGAGCGATCGCCAGTGCCGAGACCCAAGGTGCCTGCTGTTCCGCCTCCCTCCTTCTCCCTCTGAATGAGAGCGTCGAGCAGAGCACTCCATTTTCTCGTTACTCTGCGACTCGGAGGCTCTGCGCTGCAGCCCCCGCACTAAGACCCACAGTGTGTTTGGCCTCTCACGCTCCAGCGGTTGAGGCCTTTAAGTGCCGGCCTAGACCTCAGCGCCCTGGGCCAAAACAGAGCTACAGATCAAGCCATCTCTGCTTCTATATATATATATATATATATTGAACACTCCTTAACAGCACGCACTACACAAGACCGAGGAGGAGTCCTAATTAACTACCATGGGCGCCCGATCCTTGCAAGTTTCAGCCCTAACCGTCAAGACAAGCCACGCTAGGGAGGAACTGGAGGGACCCACGAACCCAGCAAGGAACTCGAGTCAAACTTTCTCATACACGCGTGCACTGAAAGAGAACCCTGGGCCTGAGCCCTTACCCAGACAATCTGCACGCTGGGCTCTCCCTCTCCTCCTCCTCCCATCCTCCTCCTCCCATCCTCCTCCTCCTCCTCCTCCTCCTCCTCCTCCTCCTCCTCCTCCTCCTCCTCCTCCTCGTCCTCCCCCCCCTCCTTGTCCTCCTCCCCCTTCTCCTCCCTCCTCCTCCACCCTCCTCTCCTCCCTCCTGCTCCCTGCTCCTCCTCCTCCTCCTCCCTCTCCACCTCCTCCTTCTCCCCCTCCTCCCCCTCCTCCCTCTTCCCCCTCCTTCTCCAATTTCTTCTCCTCCTCCTGCTTCTCCTCCTCTTCCTCCTCCTCCTCCTCCCTCTCCTTCTCCTTCTCCTGCTCTTCCTCCTCCTCCTCTCCTCCTCCTGCTCCTCCTGCTCCTCCTCCTCCTCCTCCTCCTCCTCCTCCTCCTCCTCCTCCTCCTTCTCTTCCTACTCCTTCTGCTCTTGCTCGTGCTCCTGCTGCTGCTGCTGCTGCTGCTGCTGCTGCTTCTCCGCCTCCTCCTCCTCCTCCTCTTCCTCCTCCTCCCCCTCGTCGTCCTCCTCCTCCTCCTCCTCCTCCTCCTCCTCCTCGTCTAAGTCCTCCTCCTCCTCGTCCTCTTCCTTTCGTCTCCTCCTCCTCCTCCTCCTCCTCATCCTCCTCCTCGTCCTCCTCCTCCTCCTCATCCTCCTACCTTTAGGCCCACACCAGGGGCGAGGCTCTGCCACAGTCCTGGCGTTGGTTACACCTGGGGTCGGCGGAGCCCCTTCGTCCTGGCGTCGCCTCGTGTCTATCTGGTGCATTTGCGTGCGTGCGTGTGTGCGCTGACAGCACGCGTGTCAGGCACCCCGCCTCAGGGGGAAGGCGCGCTCGCACCAAAGCCCAGTGCCCTCTTTTGTTTCAGCGTCGGCAGCGCCATGCCGTCTCTGCGGTGCATGGTTTCATCCTCGGCCGCAGTGGATAACATGGTGGCCCAGCGCCACGAGGTTTTGGGTAAGGGTCGGGTCGGCCAACCCTTAGCCTCCCCTCATCAGCCAAGTCATGGTCCTCCTCCTCCTCCTCCTCCTCCTCCTCCTCCTCCTCCTCCTCCTCCTCTCAAGCCATTTGGGCCCAAGTTTTTGGGCTCGCTTCTGGGCCTTTCAGCAGGCGCTTGAGATCTCGCCTTCCCCCGGGAAGGTAGCTAACGTGGAAGCATTCAGTCGAAGCCATGGCCCCGCCGCCGCGCAAGCCGCCAGGGACCCGCGGCCCTCCTCCTTGGCAGTCTGTTCACAACGCTATGTGGCGTTGCGGGAAATGCGGTTGCGGGAAAAACATGGGACGTTTCTGGTTCTGCAAGCAGTGTCACAGTTTGCGAGCCGAGGTCGACGTCTCCACGCCCAAGCCACCTGGCGGTGTATGGGCGAACGGTGCTGGTGCAGCGGGGCAGGCCCCACCATCGGCGCCTCCTCCTCAGCCTCGCCCTGTGGGACCACAAGGAGAGGGAGGACAACCAGGAGCTGGTGCAGGCCAGGGCGTCATCCGCGACGCTGACCTCACGGATGACGAGATGCACCAGCTCATCTCACTCAACAGGAAGATGGGCAACCATGGACACGCCGCGGCGCTCCAGCAGCGCTTGGACAAAAGGAAGGCTGGCTCGGCACCTATACCGATTCAAGTGCAGGCGAACCAATCTGACCGAGCCAGGAAGGCCTTGGAAAAGAAACTGTCCAACGAGCTGGAGCAATTCGAGAAGTGGCAAACATGGTTGGCTGATAAGAAGAATTCTATTCACTCCCTTCGTCAACAGTTGGTCGAAGAGAATGACCGCTACAAGAAGCTCGTTGCGCAGCTGCAAGCAGAGGTTGCACCACCAAGCTCTCCACCTTCTTCGGCTTCTCTTTCGCTCCAGGACTTACTGGACGGGAAGCAGCTATTCGACGCCACCAGTGTGGAGTCGTTCTTCAACGTGGACCCTGAAGTCTACGAGCTTGGCGAAGAGGACCGCAAGCAAATGGCGGCTCGTGCAGAGGACCTCAGCAAGCGGCTGGTCGAGACCACCCAGAACCTCTTCGGGGCGGCGGCCAAGCAGCTCGAGGAGGCCAGGCAGCTGCACAAGTCGCACGTCTCGGGCCTGGCGAAGCGTCGCAAGGCCGAGGGAGCGGCGATGCCTGGTGGTGGTCATGTGGATGACGGAGCTCGTGCGGCGGGACCTTCTCCTGCCGTTCAACCTGAAGATCACTCCGGACCTTCGGCCAGTGCTGGCGTTTCTGATTCTGACTCGGCCGCCCGCTCCTCTGCTTTGCTTGCCCGCGCCGAGACGGTGCTGGGAGCCGACTTTCAACCACCTGGGCAATCTTTGCCCCCCACCTCGACTGCCTAGGTCGAAGTGGGGGGGAGATTTGAAGTCACCTGAGGCGCCAAGTTTTTTGATACCTCCTGGTCCCTCGGATCCGTCGTTGGGGTGCGGCCCTGGTTTGGGCGCCCGTGGGCCTATGTCAGGACCCAGTTTTGGCCCGTCGTCTGGCCCCCCTGTCCCCGAGTCCGACCAGCTTGCCCTCAGATTCCAGACGTGCAATGCCACCTCCTGGGGGCCATGTAAAGAATGGCTCGCCCGCGCATCGGCCCACGTCGTGGCCGCTCAAGAACACCACCTCTGTAGTGATGAGTCGTGTCGCTCGGCTTTAGATTGGTGCGTCAGACATGGCTGGAAAGGCCTCTTCTCGCCAGCCCGTCCTGGAGTCGGCGAAGGAAGCTCAGGTGGTGTCGCCTTAGTCTGCCGATCCTTCCTAGGCCTTC